TATATATACGCACATTTACATCTCACATTGAATAATACCTCGACTGACTTTGTCCCTTGAACATTATGTGTCTAATTAATATAATACAGACAATTTCGTATCCATCGTAAATCATTAAATAAATCGAATATCTCTGTGTTCTGCATATCATATTGATTAGATTGTTATGAAGTGAAATAGTGGATGAATAATAACGTAATGAAGCAATTCAGAGTAAAATGCAGAATACGGAGACTCAAGTGTAATGTTGTATCACAGTGTACGGGTTTAATCTTTTAGTCTTTTCGAATCTGAATTATGTATAGAGACCATAAAAAACAAACTTAGTCATGTAAGATTTATTATGAGTGGAATAGATTTAATGAAATCTAAATAAACTCTTCGAGAAACACTGCTTTGTCTTTCTTACCATTTACATAATTCTCAATAATGAATGTAACATTATGCATATGCATTAATGTTACATGTATAATAATGCGATGTATTAATTATTTAAATCGATCCTTTGTATTTAAAATATTTAAAATATGTATTAATATTAAAAAAATTAAAATATGTAAATAATATTAAAAGATATAAATATTTAAAAAAATTTAAATTCTAAAAAAATTTCTACAGCTAAGAAAATTTATATATTTTTATTTATTTTTTATATTTATATTATATTTATATTTATATTATATTTTATGTTTTTTATCTATATATTTTTATTTTTATTTATATATACAGAACTTTAAACATTTTTAAATTAATATTTTTGTATTTAAAATTTTAAATATAATCATATAATCGTATTTCACACAATTGCAAAGGATTAATAAATTTTATTTTATTATTTTATAATTATGCTAATTGATGTTATTTTCATTTTTTTTTAATGTTCCACGGTTTATTAATTTCATAATAAATTTAAAATACTTGTTAAAACAATCGATTTTTCGTTTATATGTTCGTTGTATTAAAATGTTGCTACTAACTGCGATTGTATAAAATTTATATTTCTACAAATGTTCTTTCGATGTTTTTGTAAAAGTTTTATAAAATTGATAAAAATTAATCATAACAATATTTTTGAATCCATAGTAATTTTTCGCGTTGTTTGTACCCCTTAATATTTTTCCATATCTGAAATATAGATGTAAGAATATAATTATATTCTTACGAAGAATTACATTCTTACATCTATAATTTGAAACAAATTGGACATATAATTAACCAATCATATTTGAGTATTTTTCTCACATTTGATTATGATTGGAGCCATAATGGTTCCTGCTGGAGTACGTTCCAAAACGCAATCTTGGTTAGTAAGAGCTACAGCTTATGTCACGGGTATTATAGATTTTCAATAACCAAGTTGCGTTTTAGAACGTACTCTTGATAGTTCATTCAATGTTCTAGCTTGCCTACTTGAGTACGTACTACATTTACACGTGAATTGCAGCAGAAGAGTAATTATTTGGTTAAAAATTTTATACTTAAGAATTTTATAAGTATAGTAAAAAGTTTAAGAGTTTTGTAAGTTTGTTAAAACAGTGGACAAAATAATCTGATATTGTTCCAAAATCCAGAGATTAGTTTTTTTATTCTTAAAATAAATGCACCTATGCTATATAATAGCTGGAGGTTAAATTCAAAAAAAAAAAATTTTCTGCCGGTTTATTTTGAAGCTATTGTTCTAACTTAAGTTTAAAGGATATTATAACTTGATATTATAATATTTATAAAATCATAGATTTAATTTATATTTTATGTCATTTAATTATATTTTATTCACAGGTTTTAGATAACATGGAACAAATGTCTGCATTTTCTGTACATCTAGCAAAACAGAAAAATATGAAACAGAAGTTGAATAATGAAAAAAGAAAACAAGGGCATAATGAAAAGAAATTGAAAAATTCAAATCAAAAGTATAAAAAAAATGAAGATGTTCAAGGAACAGTTATAAATCAACAGATACAAGAAGAAGGTATTTTATATATTTTTATAAAAAATAAAACGTCATAAAAAAAAACAATTTAATAACTTCTTTTCTGTTGTAGAAAGAAAAATAAAATTTGAAAGAAAATTAAATGCTGTCAATAATGGGAAAAAAATAGACAAAGAATTAAATAGAAAACTGAAAAATGCAATAAAGAAATCGAAAAAGAAGAATAAACAAATTTTTAAGAAAAAGAAAATTACTCAGATGATTGATATTGCATCGATAAAGAATATTGAAAAAAAAGATAGTAAAAATATATCGAAAAATATAATGAAGAAAGATATATTAGACTCATTAAATCGTGGATGCATGTCTGATGATGAAGTACATATAGATTATATTTTTAAAGATCCTTTCCAATTTAGTCAAGAATTGTTTCAATTCTTAATACATCCTTTAGATGTAAAAAAGTTCTTTAAGTGAGTTGAAATCTATGAATATAATTGTGTATATCTTTATATTATATATTAATATCAATTTTTATTTGAATCTTTTTATTTAGTCAAAATTGGGAAACGAAATACTTGTTCGTGAACAGGGATAAACCTGATTATTACAAGAAGCTCAATGTATCAACAGCTATGTTGGATAAAATATTGAGAAAGAAACATGTTCAATTTACTAAAAATATTGATATTACATCCTATTCTTCTGAAGGGAAAGAGCTCCATAATCCTCCTGGTCGTGCTCATCCCTCTGTTGTTTGGGACTATTATTTGAACGGATGCTCCATAAGGATGTTAAATCCTCAAACATTTTTTCCTAATGTTTTTTCATTGAATGGTAAAAAATATAACCGTATACTTATATTCTTTTGATAATTTTCCATAGATTTTTTTAACTTATAACGATTTGTAGCAACATTACAGGAATTCTTTGGTTGCTTTGTTGGTGCTAACTTGTATCTCACGCCTCCTGGCAGTCAAGGTTTTGCACCCCACTATGATGATGTAGAAGTATTTATATTGCAACTCGAGGGTCAAAAGCTATGGAAACTGTATACACTCGATGCAAAGCACTCTTTGCCGAGATATTCCTCTAAGGATTTTGATCAAGAGGAGATTGGAGAACCTATACTAGAAGAACTTGTCAAGCCTGGAGATTTATTGTATCTACCGCGGGGAACTATTCATCAAGCAAAAACTCTCAATGATTCTCACAGTTTGCATCTCACAATAAGTGTATATCAGAAAAACAGTTGGTGTGATTTTCTTGAGAAGCTACTCCCGCAAGCTCTGAAAAAAGCTACCGAAAATGATGTTCGTTTTCGTATGGGATTGCCTCTGAATTTTCTAAAATACATCGGTAGTGCATATGATACAAGTGGCTTCAAAGAAGGTTTTGAAAAAATCACAAAAAATTTCATCATTGAGCTAATAAAACACATTGACATTGAGAACGTGGCTGATTTGATGGCCAAAGATCATATCCATGATTTTCTGCCTCCCATGCTCTTTAAGAACGAACAAAAATGTTCAGTGCTAAGAGGCGGTAAAGTCATGGTTGAAAACGGATATGTTAAGAAATGTGCGAAAATAACGCTTCAAACAGAAGTACGATTATTAAGATTACATTGCATAAGGTAAGTTCATTCATAATCCGTTCTGAAAAATTAACGCAAAATTTGCAAAAGGGGATGATAATATTATATAATTATTGTATTATAGATTGGTGAAAGAGGATATATATAAGATATATTATTCCACTCACAATTCTGCAGAATATCACGAGATTGAATCACAATATCTAGAAGTTGATGAATGCAATGTACGTGGAATTAAGCAATTAATAAAATCTTACCCTAATTTTATACTTTTGGATCATCTATTGTTCGAGGATGATTTTGCAAAGGTATGAATATATTATTTAATATATAATATATAATTATATAATATTTTATTATGTTGTTTATATACATTGTCTCACAATTTTGCACATATTATAGGTTCAAATAGCAACAGATCTTTGGGATTTAGGTTTAATCATAACGAAAGAACCTATATAGAATATAAATTAAGTGCATGTATAAGAATTGTGCATTGTATATATTTGTCTATAATTCTATATTCATCTGCTTTAAAAATAAATTTTTGATCCTTTTTCTGCAAGGAATAAGTAATAGTAATAAATGTTATTATTTAAAATAAAACATGCCCACAATTATGTTCTGTGAATATCTATTGTAAATCAGTATACCAACAATCGTTGGTTACGTTTTATGATTCATATAGTTTCTGCAACATATTTTGCATTTTATGATACTTATATATGGTGATTTTTAATTATATATTGACTCAGTAGATACATTTAATCTTTTTAAATTTTACAATACAAAAACTTTGCGATGTACATTTTTTATTTATGACATTGTTATTTAATTTTATTTTATATTGAATTATTTTTAATACTTCTTTCTATACTTCTTAATATACTTCTTAATATACTTAATATACTTAATATACTTTCTATACTTCTTAATATTTTGTTAATACGATTAAAATAGATTTTCTTTCACCAGGATTCTTTTTATTTTTCAGTTTTATATTATTTTTAAATTCTATTTTACGATAAAAATTATATTAATAAATAACTAAAAATTACCACTTATAATCTAAGTTTCTAAAATATTTACGTCTCAATTTTAAACTTATTTCGTTTCTCTTGTGCAATATGATCCCTTTGTCTTCCCAACACGAATTCGACATATTCGAGATATCCATCGTTGTTCAAATCATCTTCTTCCAATACTTTATCTATTAACTCTAAAGCAAAAAAAAAAAAGATTAAATAATTTTATCATGTATTTAAAAAAATTGAGTATAAGGATATATATCTTCTATGTATTATAAAAAAGGATATTTTTTATAATACTGTCATGTGTCAAATATTAATTAGACATACCTATAATCAAGTCTTGTTCCGTATCTTGCATCGTATCTTCCTCGTCGCTCTCATGTAAAGTATGTTCAAGAGCGTGAAAAATTTCTAGTCCGTCTAACTTTGTATTATTGTCGATATCATGAATCCTATATATAATCATGAAAATACATTAGCAATTATAAATAATAAATGTGAATAAACAAGCAACATCTCAAACGTACTGAAAATAATGGAATTCTATTTCTTGCTCAGACATTTTTGAAAAATCAAGCTGATTGCCTATGTAGCCCATGTCTTCCTTTAGATGCCTAAAATTATAAAATAAAGTCATAGATTCTATTCTCATTGACTATTGAATTGAAAATATTTCGATATCTAAACATCGCTAAAATCAGCAGTTATTTACATATTAGCAAAATCGCTAAAAATTATTAATACTCCAAACTGTTTCATTACATACATAAAAAATAAAGAAATTAAGTATAAAACAATAAATCTATTTAGAAAGTTGATTAGCTTGCTTAATCCTTTCTTACGTGGCATCGTGAAGGAGCTCAGCATCTTGTGTTAATTTGACCTCCTTTTGCGGCGTATAATGATGATGGGATACGCTACTCCTTGGATGATGTGGCCCACGAAAGCCGGTTGCTAGGCCGAGGCAGAAACTGATTAAAAATATTATCTCCATTTTGCTATCTGAAACACATTGTCGCGACAACATACATTTCACTCTTTGTTATATTAGATAGATATATTTGTATAGTTTTGGAAAATTCCGTTTTACATAAGGGTTTAATTTATAGGGATTAAGTTGAAGCGAGATATTTGAGAATCGTCTTTCGCGATAATTTATACACGATCGGATGCACGCAGTTCGGAAAAAGTAGTGACTGCTAGGAGGGACATCTCTCCATTTCGCGACATTCCGAACGGTGCCCATCGACAATGGGACCTGCTGGGACATGTTCATCGGGTGTGTCGTCGTGTATGGAGTGCCTGCTTCTTCCGAGGGTCGAACACCCCGTCGGTCAGCGACAGATGGGCGGTAGAGGGGGTCCACGGTAATTATTATGCGATTACCCACAAGCCCATTGATTTAGATTGGACCCCAGGGGGGCGAGCTGCGCTGATCGCGGGCCCGTCCCGATTTGTTACAAGACCACGCTCGAAAGATTGAAAGTGCTCGACGTGGTACGTTCAGCGAGATTTCTGAGTTTCTCACAACACTTCTTTTTTCTTTTTATTTTAGTGCTTATTTGAGAATAACGGAAGTTTATCATTTGCGTGAAGAATAATTTTTATAAAAAAATATTTTTTTGTTGATAAAGAAGTATTTATTATATTTGTCACATTGCCGAGGATAAAGCTGCGGGATCACAATCGTTCTTATTCGCGGAGTATTTAAGAAAACTCACAAAGAAGGGAGAGAAGAAGCAAGTATCGACATAGGGTGTTAAAAGACACACGAAGCCGACACGAATACGGGGTACTTAGGAATCAATTTTATATGGGCTTACGATGATCTCGAAGCGAGAATGCATATGTTAAGGGAAGAGCGGGGGAGTCCCCCGGGGGTTTCCAATGCGCGAGTGGACCCCCCAGGGGTTCCGGCGCACCCCAATTCCGCGCACCCTCCGCACCCGCGTCTGTCTCTCTCTCTGGGTGTCGAAATCTATAAATAATTTATATCATTTGGTCCATTCACGACGGGAGAGCCCATATGTACCTGTGTCGCCTTACAGGGGACCTGCACTCGCTCGACATCCTTCTCCCCGATTGTCGGGGTTGGCAACGGTCTCTCATTACCCGATATGTAACGGATGCATGGATGAACTTATAGATTTGACGCTAGGATCGATCATAGAACGAGATTGACTGCATACAGGTGCTAACGAGATCACGAACGTACTATTTTCCATCTCTCTTTTGCATCACATTTGTTCTATCTTATCTGTCCACAATCCCTTCAATCGCGGGAGAGATTAATGAGCTTGAAGTAGGCGAAAATATTTTATTTCCCCAGAATGATATTTTATTTTGTCTTTTATCACCGTCTAGAATTTAATGAATCTTTTGGGAGGGAAACTTAAAAACAGCCTAATCTAAATATAATAAAGAAATTGCTATTTCATTTTTGATATAACTGTGTATTTTTTATTCGTGTAAGCTGGATAATATTTATAGCTCTTCTAGAGTTATTTGGCTCTATAAACATTATTCAGCATGCATGAATTAATTAATACATATTTGTATATATCATTAGGTGTTAGAATTTAAATTATATTAACACACACATTGGGACATTGCGTTTTTAAACAATGCGACATTTATAATATCGAACGTATTGTAATTCGCGGCATATATTTGCGTTATCCAAATATACGTTTATGTTCGCGATAAGCTGTTATCATTGCCGTCGGCGAAAACGAACATATGTCCGGCATCGTCATACGTAAAATTGCCATCGCGAAAACCAGCATTTTCACTAGTTTTTCCCAGTTGTTTGAGACATTCGCTGACTATGATTATCGGTGGGTATCTCGCGTCTCGCCGGAGGCTACCCCTTGCGAAGGGTAATCCATCCCCCAGATAGATGGAGCGCCTGGCCGGTTACCTTAACCTGGGCTCCTCTCGGTCACGTCGCACCCCCAAAATTATAAATTGCGCAGGTGGCATCGTTTTTACCTGTCCTCGATGTCTTCATCGGGATCGACCTGGTCGCCGATGGATCTGACCCCGCCCGCGATGATCGACTGCTCGATCCACCCTCCGCTCTCGATCCCCTGCGCGATCCCTCGCTCAATCCGCTCTCGCTGTCGACTTGATCGGCGAGAAGCACGCGACGTTTATCGACGTTTTTCCAGCGGAGTTTGCGTGCTGCACGAGTTGCTCCGAACGCACGGTCGCTCTCTTTGAGCGGGCTCTCTCGTTTGGTTTTCGTCCAAATCCCTGCGAAAAGTCGGCTAATCCGATCATCTCGCTTCTTTTGCCGCGCAGAATAAGCGCGCGGATTACTCCGTTCAGCTCATGTTGGGCGTCCACCACCTAGGAAAAACCTCTGGGAGAAACCTGGAACTCTCTGAGAACTTTCCCCGTCCAGAGGAGTCGGGAAATCATCAGGGAATTTTATCGGCAGTCAGGGAATTTCTCTCGCAATCGTCCCTTCGACGATCTTGCCTTTTTCTTGCAAGAGAAACAGTATTCTGAAGAATCTATCGAATTAGCAGCTATATACCTTGTTTATAAGAAATTTTGAAATATTTTCATGATACAGTGGAGATTAAAAATTTCGTACAAAATTAAAAATACATTCGAAATATATATAAATATATATATATTTTTTTTTTCTTCATTTTGTTCAAAGTTTTCACACGCAATTCTTATATTTTAATTGTATTTCGTAAAAATAAATTTTTATACTTTTAGATAAAATAACTATTCCGCAAAATTAATTACTTTTTAATTTACTATTTGAAATTTGTGATTTTTAATTTTCTTATTTATATAATGATAAGTAGGAAACGCGAAAGTCACACAATGATTAAATCCTCAAGTTAGTTTTAAATTTGTGCGCAAAAACGCTCTAATTTCATTTGGAAACTTGAATAAAAATTCCCGGAAAATTAGAGAATTCTCAAAGGAATTTTTTCGTATATCTTTCACGTGGATGATAACTACTTATGCAGAACTATAACGTTACATTTACGCAATGTAGACAAAATCACAGCGTTAGCGGCAGCGATATTTTTGATATTACTTGCGGTTCGGTCCCTTTTATTCCGCACGGTAAAAACTAAAAGCTTCACGTGCGGAAAATCGACCTTTTGTTATGCATTATTATGTAATGTTTCGGTATGGTACGAATATCTAATAAATATATATTTTTGGGATATTAAAATATCCCGCTACTACATCTACCGTACAATAATGCACAACCGTACAAATAATGACAATATTTATTAATACTGCCGTTATTTGCTACTGTATGAACACATATTTTACGCAAAAAGTAACAATGATGTCGCATTGTATTGTCAGAAATTACGTTTTGCTCGATTTTTGTCGTTACGATCTGCCGTTACGTTTTGTTAATAAATCCTGTTAAATCTGCAGAATCCAGAATTATCGGATGTAACAGAGAGATCCTGCGTCAATTCATTGTTAGGCCAATGAAGCTTAAAAAAAGTTGATAAAATAATCGATTTTTAACCGATCTATTTGCAACAACAAAAGTACACATCCATTAACATACTTATACTTATATGTATTCTGTCTGTCATGAAAGATCAGGTATCAGGTATCCATCAGAAATCCGCTCCCGCTGTTATCGTAATTAAATTGTGAAGCGATGCGAGTTTAAGGGCGTTTCATTGCGGCTGCAAATTTGAATTGACCGAACTAGAATTTTTGAGGAGTTGGCGAAGGGATGGAGAAAGAGAAGAAAAGGAGAGAGAAACGAGGAGAAGAAGAAAGAGAAGGAAAACGCAGATCCGGCGAAAGCATGCGGGTGAGAAGAAGAGAGATAGCGTGAATGTGGGAAAAGAAACAGAGGATGTGCGTGTTTGAGGATCGAAGAGGGACAGAGATAAACTGCGGGGGTTGAGAGAGACGCGGGAGTGGCATAGGAACGATGGGGAAGAGGGAAAAGGACGAGGAAGAGAGAGAGAGAGAGAGAGAGAGAGAGAGAGAGAGAGAGAGAGAGAGAGAGAGAGAGAGAGAGAGAGAGAGAGAGAGAGAGAGAGAGAGAGAGAGAGAGAGAGAGAGAGAGAGAGAGAGAGAGAGAGAGAGAGAGAGAGAGAGAGAGAGAGAGAGTCAGGAGACAGATGGAGAGAGTGAGAGAGAAAAGAGAGAGGGAGAGAGAAGGCGAGTGGGATAGTGCACGGATGGGTCTCCGGTTGCCATGGCGACCACCGTAGCCTAAAGCTATGCTTTTATTGATTCCAAGCCGCAAACAATGTGCAGGAGTGGATGTTTCGCTCTGTTCTCTCTCTATCCGTCTGGATAGTGAGGTATTAACGCACCCCGAAATACCGATACCCATGGGCACGTGCCCCAGAAAAGCGGGACCGTCTCGTCCCTCTCCCCCCTACTCCACCTTACCATCGGTTTTCCCCCATTCCCATCCCCTTTCCTCGCTTCCTCCCTCCCGCCCTCGTCCCGCCGGAGTGCCCTGCGATTAATTCAGCAGTCTCTCGATATGCACAGTTCGCCGTTGCATTAAAATACACGCGACTTCAAAGCGCGGCCCGCCGACTATAACGCAACGCGACCCGACGTCAAAGGTTACGTCGGACTGCATCTTCCGGTTCTGCGTGCTCGTCCCTTTCCCCCTCTTCCCCCTTTCCTTTTTCCCTTTAGCACCGCGGTCCCAAATTTTTCGGGGGTCGTGCATCTCGTATCGCCACACGTAGCGCCATCGTTCTCGCATGTCCGTGTGACACAAGGTTTCGTAACCGCGATCAATTTTTATTCCGGATATCATCAATCCCCTGGCGAAGAAACTTGCTTTAAATATTAATAACTTCATACCGAACGGTCGGTTAATTAAGAGGCCCGTTTGATATCCCTCTGTACATTCGGCGAGATATATTTAATTAATTTACAATTAAATTGTAATTTTTTTCACTAAATTACTTTTGTCCGTTTTAGCTTTATTTTACGCGGTGAACGCATGGATGTGTTACTCAGGGGAGTAATGACATTAATGACAAACAGCAGGTTAATCGACGCGCAAACCGATGGAAGCTAATGTCGACAGCTGCCAGAAGGCGCAAAAAGAAGAAAGAGATCGATTGAAAAACACTCCTTTCTCCCTCTCAAGGGCTATCTTTTGAAAATCGAATCAATAACAATGAGCGAAACTAGTCATGCGAAAGTCAGATCGCGATTGAGTTTTCTACCCGATTACTGCGAAGAAAGGGCCACCCACCGCGATTTCTCCATGAACAGCTTACCGCCCACGGATGCGTTTTAATCGCGCGATTCCCGGAAATGTTGGATCCGAATTGTATATATTTTAAACAACAGAATAATCCCCTTAATTTAAATGAATTTCTTTCTCTTTGTGCGCGCGCCCGTTCACATGGAAACTGATTTCTATGCTTATTATGTTTCATTAATATCTTCACTATTATTTATAATAATAGATATGATATTATCTCGATCATTTTTACGATACTCTTCCTGGCATTTTTCATATTTTTTGGATGATAAAATTATTTCCAAATTCCAATTAAATATATTTAATGATTGCACTCGTTTGACTGATTAACTTGCAAAAACTGAACTCGTAATTATTCGAGATGAAGATTATTTTAGAAATTCGTCATCTACAAAGCAAGAATGCTATATTCCGTGGTATTTAAATTTGAACTTTACTGTACTTTACAGAAAGTAGAACATTCCGTCGAACGGATTTTCCGTTGTAATTTTAACTATTCATTATCTTCATCCTTCCTTCGAGCGGCAATCTGTTTTTGCGAAAATTCTGGTTATCATTTCTCGAAGTAAGGGTTGTTTAAGTTTGGCTAACAACTGCAATTTCAAACTATTCAATTAGAAAAGATTTAAATAGCCTTTAATGAGATCTTCTAGTAATTACGAGCTGAATAAGGTACGTTTATTTAATCAGTAGATTATTTATGAATTTTCATGAGTTCCGAGTGTGTAACAAATGTTGAAGTAAAATACATGGGACATGAATAAATGTTTATAGCTGAAAAACTTTCTTTGAGAAAAATATTCTGTCTAACTCGGCCTAACTAATTGTAATAAAAAAAATAAGAAAAATTGAAATGAAAAAAAGTATACTCTTTGATTTCTGTTTGCACATTAGTCCTCGCGAATGTGCATCGTACGCCACTTGTTCTGCTTACCTGTTGACTGTCTTACCTCCCGAAGGAACGAGGATCGTGCCGTCGTCGCTCGACGGTTGAATTTGTTTCTGTTTTCAATACCGGCCATTCGGACTTTTTCCGCTCGAGAAAAATATCGCGCTGGTTAGCGGCCGCGTTGTTTGCGCGCGCTCTCGCATTCACGCCCATGTATATGTGTCCCTCTTTTTCCACCCCCTCGCCTCTCTTCCGTTTTTTTTTTTTTTTTTATTTTCGCGACAATCGCTCGATCACAGGCGTGTCGCATTCTGACGCATGAAAATGGCCCAAAGGGATGCGCCAGCCATGATCGATGCTCCATCCGATCGGAGTCTACCGAAACTGCCCGTCAAATAATATATTCATAGCTTCCGGATGGTTGAACGCGACTCTCGGAAACCACCCCCGCGACCCCACAATCGCGTCTACTTCCCCTCCCTCTCTCCCGCCCCTCGCTCCCCGACAGCCCGCTCTCGTCCGTTCGTTCAACCCCTCTCGCCCCCTCCTCTCCGCAATGCGCAGTCCATCCGCACGCAAATCGACTGTCGAATAATTATCGAAAATACACGCGCGGCCGGCTCGCGGCGCTTTTTTTCCTCCCCCGTTCTGTCCTCTGCCTCGCGGACATACGATTAACTCTTTGAGCTTTGCCGATATGCCGCACGAAATATCGCTATGTTATCTGGAGCTTTTCACGCGCCATTGCCCCATTCCGTTCGATCTCGCATGTCCGCGTAAGGCCGCATGCACATTGGCCAGCGATTAATGACGACTTGTATATCTTCTGCATGATATTCCGATATATACGTATGTGTTTTCCATATATCAAGCGTTTTCGTTGTTGTTTCGACCCGAACGTTTCTATGGAATGTGTTCTGTGTGTGTCATACGTCATGATTACACTTAACAATCTTTAGATTGAATAAGGCCTTCTAAAGGCTTTCTAAATTCCACGCAGATAGACTATTCAAGTTTGAATTTTTTGTATTCT